ACCTTTCCTGAAGCACAGCACAAGGCACAACTAAACATGGGGAAAAAAAAAAAAAAAAAAAAAGGAATTAGGAAGACATCATCTTAGTTAATCTCAGTTAATTGCTAAAAGTTGATGACAATAAGACTTTTCAGGGATGGCTGAGGTATCTTTGAACCAATACAGTGTCTCAATTTTGCAATAGCCTCTATAATCAGAAGCAGGTGAAGTCACTGACATAAAAAACCACATAGACCAACATCCTCCTCAAGCCTAAAGAAAAAAACTGCACATCAAATCAGTCTGGGAGTGGCAATGTTACACGAGTGGTTTAGATGTGAAGCGATTCAAGGACACAGAAATTTCCCATAGGACATGGGGAGGAAAGGTAGCTCCAAGGTAGGTTGGAACTCTGTGTACACATCAGCTCTCTAAACTTAAACCTCAGTGGGCCTAGGCTGTGGTAATAATTTAACAGACAGTGAATACACACTGAACAAGCACTAAAGAGGAAGAGATGATCACAAAACATCGTTACTAGATGGGGAAGCACTGAAAGAGAGAAAAAAATAAAACGGAAAATGTATTCAGCAAGTTCCTGGCTATTTGCATAATTTAGAAATAGCCCAAAGTAAATATTTACAGACAGCAGTTGTGCATAGGTCAGAATTTTCATCTGGAACATTTACAGTAGAGACACTAGGTAGCTCGTTCAGTTTATAGCTTGCTTTCCGAAACACCAATTCAGATTTTGACTAAAGAACATAAATGACTTGAAGAGAGCAAGACAAGCATTCAGGAAACCTTTGTTTGCATTATGAAACCACTGTCTGATGAGTAGTCTGTTCTCAGGACTGTACTGTTACACTGCACCTGCATGAGGCACAGAGCACTTCCAACTTAAAGAGTTGCCAAAATCTTAAATTTAAGAAAAACTTTAGATAACACTTTCATCACACAACAGAATCTGTGTTTAGCAGGCAAACAGAGGAAAATGAGCAAGGTTTTTTACCACAACTTCAGCTGAGGGGCTTTAAAAGAATATATTAGGTGCCACCTTCGAGAATATCATTAGAGCAACATAATACAGAACAAGATTAAAGACTTATTTTTCTTCAATGCCGAACACTTTTTCGGTAACTTTTATGCATTTCACAGCAGTTGAAGGGCTGTCACTTTCTCCTCCCTGTGAGCATCTCTCATGCCTGCTGTAACTGAGAAACGAAATCTCTTAGAAGACGCAGTTATGGAACCACAAGAATGGTAAAGGGGAGCAGAGAGAAGAAATTGAAGGGAAGCTGTCGAGTCTAGCACTACTTTTAGCTCAATTTGTGAGCAAGCTTCCTAGATCCCTTTAGATCATGATGAGACATACGTATGTCCAGAAAGTCCAGCTAAAGTGAGTGACTGTAGGAGACTCAAGTACATTTAAAATAAATCATCAGCAACACAATGCAGAATAGTGAATATAGCTTGATTCTGTGTGTGCGATTATTCCTATTTAAAACGTCAACCTGGAGAGTTATAACTAACTAACTAGATACAGAGAACTTTAAATATACCCTCTATACACTAATTAATACAGATTATAACTCCAGGAGAAATAAGATTCCCAATTGCTGCACTTTCCCATGCTTCAGTAAAAAATTTAGGCATATTTCAGTGACCAATATTAAAGAGTATGTTCCAAATAAGCAAACTATATGTATGTAGGATACAATCAAACAGTGCTTCCTAAGCAACCCATACTACACTATCTAGAAAAGTGACATAAAGAAAAAATTAACCATGCTTTTGCAAAAAGGGTCGCCTTTGTTAGCTTGCTTCCTCTGAACTTTTGAAGCCTAGGGATAAGTATGAAGGTCTTTCATCCCCCAGCACAAGACACTATATTTCAGCTAACTAGAAATCCACCTCAAATACTACAAACTACTTTCCCAAATGTCAAGATTGCTTTGTTAATCAGGAATAACTCTGTGCAGAATGAAACTCCAATGTAAAATTACACCAGATGCACACAGCCCATACGCACAGTGACACAATGCTATGTGTCCACTTAAGCTGCAACCAGGGCCAACCTACTTAATACAGAGTAACAGTATTTTTGAAATAGCATATTCTTCCCCAAAACTCTAAAATGAAGAAAAACTCTACCTAGGCTCAACCAGCTGGTAATTCTACTACCATATCTTGAAATACTTGATATAAGAATACTGTCACAAAAGAAATTCAAAACTAGACTTCTCTCTCGCTATAGCAAGTTATCACGCCATATTTTTTCGTTCAGTTACATCAATATTTAAATGACAGATTAAAACACTGGTGAAGACCATATATGTGAAATGGGAAGAAACACGTTTTGGACAGCAACAGATTGTTCAGACCATCTACTTATTTAAGCCAGTCTAATACTACAAGTACATATGAACCTTACCTAACTATAACTGACTAGACACAGTTATTTTTTAAGCCCAGAAAACCAGTAAGTACTGAGTTCTAGAACTACTCTGACTTGCTGTGAAAGAAAAAGCCACTTCCACCATGCCCTTTAGCCGCCCAGAGATGACAGGAGCTGGGGGATGTTTACAGGTCCCCAATGAATAATTCAGCATCAGCAACAACTTCCCTGCACCAACGTCCTCAGTGTGGGACTGGGGCAGGCGGCCGTGACGTGGTCCAACACGCAAGCTCTGGAAACAGAACTTCTTCAGGCCCGACCACACGCCTGCCCGAGTGGCTGTTTTTGAAAAGCGGGTCCCTTTTTATTATTTTTGGTTTTGTTAGCTCGCACTTCTCTCTGCGGGGCAGGGGTCTGCACCCTGAGCGCTGATGCTCCGCGGGGTCCCCGCAGACCTCCTGGCCAGGGCGCTCCCCGCCGCCCACCCCGCGGTCCCCTCACACCTTCCCCCGCCCCAGCGGCCGCGCGACGGGGGGAAACCCCCCGCAGGCCCCAGCGCCGCCGCCCCCTCCCTCACCCGGCCGCCCGCCCCGGCGGCTCCCTCGGGGTCTCCCCGTCCCCAGCGCCTTGCCCACAGTGACGAGAGCGGCTCCGGCCCGGTGCGGAGGGAGGAGGAAGGGATGGCCGGGGCCCCCGCCTCTTTCCCCCCCTTCTCCTCCTCCTCCTCCTCAGAGCGGAGGCGCTAGGCCCCGCTGCTCCCCCGCACACCCTCCTGGACCCCGGCGCCCCCCTCGCCGCCCCGCCGGGCCCCCTGCCCTTACCGAGGGCGCGGCGCTGGCGCGGCCCGGGCGGCGGCGCTGGCGGCGCTGGGCGCTCGCGGAGTCTCACCTCAGCCTCAGCGCCACCGCCACCGCCATCTTGCCTCCCCTCCCCCGGCTCCGCCGGCTCCGCCCCTGCCCGCCGGGTCCTGGCGGATAACGAACGAACGGCGGCGGCGCGGGCCGTTGGCTTCCAACGCCCGCCCGCCTGCGCCCCTCGCGCCGGCGAGACTCATAGCGCAACTCCGGGTGGCACCGGTCTGGGGGGGAAAGCGCGGGCGGGCGGCGGGCGCGAGCGGACAGTGTGATACAGGTCTGCCAGGACCCGCGGGCTGCTGCCGCGGCTGCGGCTCCCTCCCCCTCCGCCCCCGCGGCGACGCGGGGGGGCGGCCGCCATGAGGCGGGAGCGGCGGCCGCGCTGAGGCGAGCGGCGCTGCCGTCACTCCCGCGGGCACGGCCGGGGTCCCCTCGCTGCCCTGGGGCGGGCAGGGCCTCGTCGCCCTCTGAGGGGAGCCGGGGGGTGCTCAGTGAGCCCCCCCTGAGGTGATTATTTGTGAAAGTAAGGGGATGGCGGCCCCGGGGATGAGCGTGTTCACCCCCCGCTCTGAAGCGGGGCAAATCCACACCGATTTATCACGGGCGCCGTAACGGGCCCCGACCAAAAATAATAATAATAAAAAAAACCTCTCTAGAACCTTTTTGTTTTCTTCTGCTGAATGAAGAGGGGGTAAATCGTGCCCCCCATGCCTGCTGAGGTGCATTGGCCCTGACAGCTTGTTCAATAAGGTATTCCTAATCTGCGTGACATTTTACCTGCAAATGTGTAATTTCAGAGGCATTAAGATGACGGTTGAATCCCTTATCAATTTTACTGTGGGGGAAAAAAAAAAGTACTAATGGATACATTAAACTGTATCCCTGAGAGAATGTTGTTGCCATATTGCTATAATTTCCATTAAATGTGAGGAGCCGAAATCCTGTGTTTGTGGGATGTATTTGTCCACATAATTATTTATTCAGCCTAGTAATTTTACGGCTCACCCCGAGGCAAACGGGATCACCTCTTGAACAGGCATTGTACCAAAGAGCCGGTCAGCGTCGCAGCTGTGCACCCCGTTAACGTGACGTGACACAGCCCCACGCTGAAGGGTTTGCAGTCTTTAATCCCAGTCCTTGTCTCTGCTCAAAAATTAGAGGTTTCTGCTGGGAAGACACGAGGTCAGGCATGTTGCTTGCTAGCGCTTGGCTCTTCTTTGGATGCTACAGATGCCATCGTACTTTCCCCGCTCTGCTTTCCACAACTGCTCAGCTCATGTGCTCCATCACTGCAAACTTAACAAGTCTTCCATGTTGCCTGTTTGCCTCAAAAAACAAACTCTCCATGTCACAACATGAATTGCCCTTTCCATTTGTACTTTATTACTTCCTGCCTCTTTTCCTCTGCAGCTCTCCAGGGATTGCCTTTACTTCTGCGTATCCAAACGTGTTTTTTTTTCCCCCTTCTCGCAGTTCAGGTAGCAGAGCAGGTCTTGGAAGAGCCTCTCCTCTCACCCTGCTCCGGAGATTCCTTCAGCCCGCGTGCCCTGGAGCGCGGCACAAACGCTACGTGCGGCAGAGCCCGGCTTGTTCCTGGGTAGTTGTCGTTAATGCGGCAGCAGGGACAGCGGGGGAGCCCGGGGCCTGCGCCGCGACCCGCCGCCTTCCTCCCGTGCGGGGCGGGCGGCTCCTCCCCTCGGCGGGCCCTTCCGTGCCCCGGAACCTCCCCGCGCGCCCTCCCGTTTCCTGCCGGCGCGGCGCGGGTCGCCATGGCAGCGGGCCCGCTGCTCTGGGCGCTGCTGCCGCCGCTGCTGCTGCTGCTGGCGCTGCTCGTTGGCGCGCGCCGCCTGCGGCGCCGTTACGCGGGCGGCGGCGCGGGCGCTCCGGCGGCGGCGCGGGCCGCTGACGTGCGCGCCCTGCTGGTGACGGCGCACCCCGATGACGAGGCGCTGTTCTTCGCGCCCACGGCGCTGCGGCTGGGCCGCGGCGGGGCCCGCGCCGCGCTGCTCTGCTGCTCCGCAGGTGAGCCGCTCCGGAGGCGCCGCCAAGGGCCCCCCGCACGCTGCGGGGCCGCGCGTGACGTCGCCCGGGCGGCGTCACGTGCCGCGAGGCCGCGCGTGACGTCACCCCAGCGACATCACAGGCCACGTGTGGCGTCACCCAGGTGACGTCATGGCCACGCCGAGCCTCGCAGCCACGTGGTGGCGGCCATGAAGTAGCTCAGCACGCAAAAGCTCCCATGCAAAAGCTGACGGATGATTCTGGGTCCCTGCACGGTGACATTGGCACAAAGTCGCGCTCACCTCTCGGAACGGTGGCACGTGTGCGTGTGCTCTCAGCATATCCCTCCTGCACAGCTCCGCGGGCCCATCCGTGGCCAAATCCGCCGCCTTGCCCCGTGGTTGCGCAGTCAGATCTCGAATTGCAGCGCTGAGGTGCCCTCACGCTGTGCCGAGGTGTCGGGAAGGCGGGCAGAAGTGCTGTTGGTCGCGGCCGCTCCGCACTCCCTCGCTGTTCCATTGGCTTCTGGAGAACTTGCTTCCGGAGATCCAGTTTTAATGCCATAATGATACATTGTAACACATCTAAAAATATCAGTTGCATAACGGTCTAATCATAGAAAAATAGTCCTGAAGGGAACTCGTGGTCATGTTGTCCATCGGCCAGCCTGAAGGCACCATCAGTTGTGTCTTAATTTTCAGAAGACTTTTCTCTATTCTGTTTTTTGGGGAAGGTTCCTCCGCTTGCCTGGGCTATTTCAGTGCCACATGAGTTTTTATCTTTTGTTTTCCTTTTTTTTTTTTTCCTCCAAATAGTCTTTTTAGGCTTGTTTCTTCGTGTCTTATCTGCCATGAGCATGAAAATTAGAGTATCCCTTTGTAGCAGCCTGATCCATATTTTAAAGATAGTTATCCTTTTATCTCCTCCAGACTAAACAAAACAACCTTTTTTTTTTTTTCTCTCCAGTCTTTCCTCCTAGATCATGTTTTCCAAACCTCTGATGATTTTCACTGCCCTCCTCTGTTCTCTTTTCCCAATTGGTTCACATCTTTTCTGAAGCGCTGTTAACAAAAGTTGTAACAAAAGCTGTAACAAAAAAATATGGAAGTAGGACTCCTGCCGAAGCCTTTCTGGGACTTTGGAGAATGGAGAGATTCTTACAGGCTGTCCAGCTGTTCACCAACATAAGGATTTTTCACAGTATGTGACTCTGTTTTCTCATGTTCCTGTCATGAGTCACTAAAGCTCCAGTTTTGTTCTGCAGAACTGATGCTTAGTCAGTTCTTCTCCTAAGTTCAAGGTTGTAATGTTGTGCCCATTACAGCTCCGTTATTTATCATTTTGTTATCATTAGGTTGCAAATTGCTTATTTTTTTGTACATAACAGCCACATCTTAGTTGACCTTTCAAACTGTAGCTTTGTATCTGAGTTTACGAGGCTATGGTGAAGGCTGAAGATACTTTTTATGTTTGTTTAGAGGAGTATCTTTGAATATAGACATTAACATCTTGCATTGACAGCTACTTGTATTTGACAAGAGAACCTTCTGCATTTTTGAAAGGCCCAGCTAGTTCACTGCCAACTTTTCTGTTCTTTGTTCTCAAAGCTTTTTGTCACAGCAGACCGTCTAGGTGAGAAGGCAGGAATTCAGCTATTGTTGAAGTCTAATGGTGGAATGGCTTTACTGATCAGTGTCTGCCTCCCATTCAAGATTTACTGCAGAGCTTTCAGTTGTCTTTGCTGAGAGACAAAGGTCTGTAGATCCCATTTGGCTTTTGCACAGCTATGAGATTACTGAAGTGCAGTTCTGCTATTTCAGCTTTGGGGATTAATACACTTAAGCCATTAGAGAACTTTCCAAAGAGGTGCCGTGTTTCTGCTTACTTTCTTTTAACCATTTTTTTTAACTGTATTCCTCCTACAGTGACATGACATATTAAGTACAGTGTGTGAAACTGCCTTCTATTTACTCTCCTGCATGTCTTCTAAAGGAGCTACCTGCTCTTGCAGGAGAACCCATTCACTGAGCTAATAGATTTTTCTCTGCCCTTTATTAGTCTTTTGGGTGATTCAGCTGGTTCATCCTCTTGTTTGTATGATTGATGACAAGTGAGTTGATCAAAGACTCTGTAAATTGTAAAACTGAGACAAAATCATTACTTAGAAACCATCGTACTTGCAGTTTTCAGTTATCAATCAAAATGCCTTAGAAGTGAATCAGAATTACAGCACTCTGGAGAAAAAAAAAAAAGAAAAGAATAATCAATTGAACTATTATCTCAGTATAAATGTGACTTGCACTCTTTCATGGCTGCCTGGATTGTGAGAGCTCCATGGATGAGGTCCAGCCGCATCAGCTCTTCAGCTGTTTTTGCTATCAGTAGTTGCCCATATTTTCTTGTTAGCATTTACATATTCCTGATGCCCTGATTACATTTCTCAAGCATAGTAAATGTATCTGTTCCCTTGACTTCAGCAGAAATTATGTATTTTGAGAACAGCAAGATCATTTAGATAAAACACCACCTGCAGTTAGCTACTACACAGCGCTGCAACAGCAGATGTGTTGTCTTAAAACATTAGTATCATTAACATCCAGGGAAAAAAAAAAAAGTTTAAAATAAACCCTGCAGAATTAATGTTCCATGTGGGTAAGCTGCACACTTGAGTTAATTTTGCTGATGTTGGAACCTGTCATCCAGGCTGCAGACTACCAAACTGATGGATTCCTTAAGCCCACTGATAATCACTGTCATAGTCACCTAAAAGCAATCGCTTGCAGTCTGCAGCAAGAAAGTTTTTTTCCTAGTTACTGTTTCCTTTTTTCAAAATCATACAAAGCTTGCCAGCGATGGCACAAATTGCAGCAGTGCTGTAGAGAAATGCTTTATTCAGATGACTCATACCCACAACAATAAAAAGTTTTAGTGTAATTCAAGACATCTGACTACAGGCTTGAATCATACATTAATACTCAGCTGTATTTTTTTCATTTTATTGCTTCAAAGTTAAAATCGGTTGCAAGTACTGCTCTGTGTGGGGCAACAGTCTTGAATGGGCTAGTCTGACATGGACTTCTCATGGCTGATGCCAGGAAAAAGAAGGTAATGAAAGGGCAAGATGAGAAGAAAATAGTTAAATTAAGAAGGAGCTACTCCTTTAACATAACCATTTCTGTTTCTCCACTGTTCATCCCAGCATTTTATTCTGCTGTATTTTTTTCTGAATGCCTTATCTAAATGAAAGATTGAAATTTGAAAAAGTTCTTTTCAGTGTCGCTACATTAGCTCCTGTCTGAATTTTCTTTGTGAATAATGCAAATTTCTTAGAAATCTTTACCACAAAACAGCAATTATGATGGAATCACTCATTTCTTTGGCTTTTTTTTTTCACTGTTATCCATTTTTATCTTTTTTCTTTTTTTTGTACTCCATTTTCTTGGTACTCTGTTGCAGTGCCCTAATGTTATACAACAATTGCTGCTCATTAGAAGTGGCTCAGAATATACTAGAAACTTCAGTTAGTTAAAGAATACCTATCAGTGAGAGAGGTTTTCTGTATATTATCTATCCTGTTCTGTTCCAAGAACTTTGGACTTACCTTTTGACTTGGTTCTGTGGACCCACATGTTACAGAACAGGAAAGAGCTCATGGTACCGTGTGCAGCAGTGAAGGAAGAAGGACTCTTTGTCCTTCCTAAGGAGATTAATTATTATCATTTTGTTGTGAATATCTGTCTTAAAAAGTAGACTAAGAACACACTGTCCTCCTTCACAGAATCTACCTGAAAATTTGCCAGTGGTAACAGCCTTTTGCCACCTCCCTGGAAAGGCAGTTTCACCTGTATATATGAAAAGATCTTGCTCATTTGCTGTACCATTGTGCTGTACAGGTGACTTCCATTTAGATAATGTGTAAACAATTACCTCATATATATGCAAATTAGAAGACCTACCCCTCCCATATCTCTCAAAGAAAAACTTGCTTATGGAATTCATCAGAAAGGATACTAAGGCTTGCTGAGATTTTACCTATATTCAAAAGGGGCTTAGGTATATACCAAACTCAATTGAAAAGGCCAAATAGTAAGTTTAGAAAGAATATTGACGTTTTAAAGAATAAGGCATCCATTAATTAAAGAAGTGGTTGGAAGCAGTTTTCCCATAAGCAGGTTATTTCAGAGGTGTTTTGACTGGAAGGTTTTCTATTTCTTTGGCAGAAACATTGGCCACTCTCATAATGAGGACACCAGACTGCTTGGGCCACTGTTCTGATCAACCATGGCAATCTCTGATGTCAAATAAGCTCCTGACCAACAAGCCAAGCTTAATATGCGGCACAGGGACTATGGACATAACTTTGCCTCAACACTTTAGCTTGAGCCAAGTCAAGTGTTACTCAGATAAAAGCTATGAAAATTGTTCCAGTCTCTTAAATGAAGCCCTCAATTTATTTATTGTGTGTTGCTCATGCCTGTTGCTTTGAAAAAGAATAGTTCATTCCATGTTAAGCTAAACTAAACTAATTTTACTGTTTTTGTTGTTTTCAGGAAACTATTACAATCAAGGAGAGATTCGTAAGAAAGAACTGGAACAGAGTTGTTTACTTCTGGGGATTCCTGCTGCCAATGTAACAGTTGTTGATCACAGGTAACAGGTTCTCATTTATAGCGTAATTCTGCTGTAGTTTGTAAATGGGAGGAAAACTTCAATCTTCAGTGAAAGTTTAGAGAACTGTTCTGAAAAGTCTTGAAGAATCTCAAAGAAACTTGTTTGTTAACTTATAGCATAAGAAGATCAAATTTATTCAGGAGATAGTTCAAGTGTATACTGGTGAACACAGAGTCCTTAAATTAAACTCTACTGATAACGTAAGTTCGGCATAGTGGGTCTGGGCAACATGATAATAATATTTTGTTACTCTTGGTCCTGTGTTATCCAAAGCAGTTACAGATAAGTCTTCCCTGAATTGCCTGTGGCAAGTTTGTGCTGAAAATAAAACTATTCTGAAGGATTGGCTATATCATTATCATACACTTATTCCTTCACTTGATTATAAGGTAATCATAGCTAGCTTAAGTCTGTGTTTCACGATAAGATAACAATATAAACATACCAGCTATGGTGCTGTCTATAAAAAAAACTGTCATGCTGATAGCCAGCACTTCAACAGAGTGCTCGAAAAGGGAAATGTGTTCTCTCAGTCAAAGAAGTTGTCCCGACAATAGATATTGCTGAGAATGAATTTTAGGGAGATTTAAAACTAGGATGGCTTGGGGTTTGTTTGTTTATGTGTTTGCATGGGTCATTAATTCCTAACAAGTTTTTCATCTGTGGACTAGTCACTAACTGGCTTTAATGGAATAATCTGAAACAACGAAAACATCCTCTCTCTTCTTGTAAAGGAGGCTACTGCTAGCAAAACACGGTGTTGTGTTTTCCTTGACTCCAACACTCCCGGCCAAGTGATTGTGATCACTGATGTCTACTATAAATATTAACTGTAATTTAAAATGTATGTATAGTTTAGAAGGAGGTATAGGCCTTAGCAAAAGTCTTTTGTCATGAAACATAACATTATTTTGCTTCACCTGGAATTATATTTCAGTTAAATCCTTAAAGTTGCAGACCTGCATTCATTCATCACGAGGTATAATAGTCTTTACAGGGCCGCTGTGGGATTCTCTTGCATTTATAATCTGAGTTAGTTTTGGCTATAGAAAAAAAAAATTATTTTTTCGTTGTAATATGTTCTTAATGAGTATTAAAAACAATGCATAATGAGATGACAGTAAGATTTCTGATTTCTGTTTGTTTTGGTGTGACGTTTTCTCTAGTTGTATGTAGATATGAAGGTAGATGATGAAGCTGCTGTGTTTTGGGATTAATTCAACCACTCTGTTCTGAGGGGAAGATTTAACGCGTAGAATTAATGAAATTCAGAAGCTACTTTGTAAAGGCCTCTAGTATTGCCTGATCCCTGTCCATCACAGCTGAGGCTGACAGTAGCTGAACTGGATACTGACTGCCAGGAAACACAGAACAAGAGGTTATATCTATTGTAAACAACTGTCAAAATGTATAAAGAATGATTTTGTTTTAAAAGTTTTATCTTTAATAGCAATGGATTGATTTAAGGCCATACAAACTCGAAAAGTCAAAGTTGAAACAATCTGGCTCCAGGCAGGCCCTTTTCCCATGAAAATATTTTCCCTCGAGCTAAGGCAACAGAAACCACAGTCCAGAATATGAATCTTCTTGAGTTCTTTGCTTTTTTTAGCCTTAAGTCTCTCTCCAAGTTTTGACTCTCTTAGGAAAACTGCATAGGAGTTGTTTTTTCCTTTAGAATGAAAGGAGATGTTTCCCTTTGCTTCTCAAGAACTGGTTTTGAATAACCTTGTGTTTTGTAGTACAGTCATATGACAACACCCAAAATGGTTGAGGACGGATACAGAAAAAAAAAAAAAAAAAAAACAACCCCCCCCCACTTTGATTTGCATAGCATAAAGGCTGCTAAATGAACCCGTTGTCATTTTAAATTTACACAGAGAACACAAAAACCCAAAACACAGAAGCCTCCTGGTCTTTCATCCTCTAACGCAACATGTGGTTGGTTTGTATGTGATGCAAATTTCCTGCTCAATAATCCCCCATCGTAGACAGAACAGGTTTTTGCAAGTAATACTTGGGCTTTTTCTCATAGGAAAGCGAGGGCTGTTTCAGAGAAAGAGTTTGGATGATGCCTCTCTCCTTTTCCTATTACTAGTATTAGAAAAGCTAATGTAAGTGGCTTATATTTGATTTATCCCAGTCGACATAGTACCTGAAAAGATTGATTCTTCCCATTATCCAGAACTTTTGGTTATGGACTAGAGCGTACGGTGTTATTCTAGGAAATGGGTTTAGATTTTGAGGTCTTTATCTCTGAGGTCTTAGATTGCTGTGAGATAGCCCTCAAATAGATCCATTACTCCTGCATTCAAGGAGCCAAAGTGCTGACTTTTGCTCAGAAAAGTTAGGTGTGTACTTACAGTGCATTATTTGCCCTGCACTTGCTTGTCATGTGGGTACTCTTTGTGAGTAACGTCTGTGAGTTGAGTTCTAGCAAAATGGTGTAAGAGATCATGGTATAAGAGAATTTTTGGAGGACTCTGTATTTCTAAAACAGCTGTATTTTCCAGGAACTCAAGGCTCCTGAATTTTGCTTAGAGTACTTGGATTCCTTAAGCCCCCTGGATTCCTCCATCCCCATTTCTGTAATTTACAGATTATATAGAAATATTTGCCAGTGTGGCCTCACATGAGACTTGCTAAGTTAATATCTGTGTTCTACCACTGGATTCCCATTAAATTTGTCTGGGGAATACAGTTCAGCTCTTTAGCATTTTGTATTCTGTGGGTGCTGTTTAAGACCAGAACCTTTTGGCTTTTGTTGTTCCTAACTCTTCAGAAAATAATTTTCCATCTGTATAAAGACGTAGCCCAGCACATTGCTTAAGGACTGTAACTGGCACATGGCCCATCTAACATTTCTTATGCAAACACTGGATGCTTTACATTATCCATGCTGCAGATTTGTGTTTTGGTAAGGAAAGCCCAAAGGATTGCTAGGTCTGGACCTGCTCCAGCCATTGTAGTGTGGAGCTGAGTCATGCTGCTTCCTCTTTCTTTGCATAATCTACAATTGAGTGAGTAAAATTTCAAGCTGTAAAAGGGGAAATGTGTCTGAGAGCAAGGGGACAGGCTTGCTCTGCAGTCTCACTTGGCCAAGAAAGTCTAAAGCCAAGCATGGCATTCTGAGCTACATGTGAACTTGCAGAAAGAAAACTGCAGCCAGTCTGTGATAAAATCTGTGTTCTACCATGAACCAAAAAATTAAGGAGACCAAAGTCTCATTAATCAGCCCCTTGCCTTAAGTGACACATAAAGTATAGCCAGGATTGCTACAGCCGGATAAGCCCAGTCTCAGACAATCACTTTGCACTGAATCTTCAGCAAATATTTAACTCAGTTAGTATATTTGACACAGTTACTGCATTTGTTTCCTCACTTTAAAGAACCATCTTATGAACAAATATTGTTCCAAACTATAACCGCACCCCAACCTTAAAGCTGTTTTCACTTTCTGATTACAATTAGCAAAAATGAAGCCCAAATTATTCTTCCCCTCGCCCTCCAATATCTGTTTTACTTTCATTAAAGGATAAACATCAGACCACATTTTACTGCAGCTTCTGAAGCTTTGATCCTGACCATACTGGACAGAAAGTAAAACTGACTGTTTGCATCTTTATTGTGGCAGACCATGTTTGGCCTGAGTTTGTAGTGCAAAAAGAAAAAAAAAAAAAATAGCTGGGATTTGTGTAAACTAGAAAACTTTCCACTCGCAGTACAAAGGCTTTCTGCAAATAATGTTACATCTGTTTCCAAGTTTCCATGGAAATTCCACTCCCTGCGCTTTTTTATTATTTCGCTCAAGTCCAAAAGGGCTTTGCTTAGACAATGCCCAGGAGAGAAGCCATCTGCCTAGGCAGAATCATGGGTTGTCTCCATTTTTTCTTTTTTTTTTTTTTTGGGGGGGGGAGGCTGCATAGAGGCTCAAATTCACTATTTTCATAAATCTCATAAATGGTTCTTTGTGGTTGGCCTTTTTTTTTTCCATTACAAGGTAAATGTGTTTTATTGCACTTCCTTATGTTTGACTTTCAAGGAAGTTCTCTGACATGGGGAGCTGGTGGAAGGAAGTGACTCTGTAAGGTCATGGGAAAAAGATATCCTAAAATAAATATTGTGTGTCTGATGTGATGATCAGAAAGATATTAAAAACATACAGACCCTTTAAAGAATGAAATATGTAACTAAAAACATGAACCTTTTGATTAGAAATAGAGCACTGAGGCTGTATTAATGATATTCATCATAAGTTAAGCTTTCAGCATCATGTGAGCCTTTTAAAATTTAATCCTCTGTGAGCAGGTTTCTTTTTCCAATGTCTGAGTCAAATTTAGGTCATAGTAACTAGTTACCTTCTGTCTTTCTAAATTCTTTGTGCAATTATAGTTTGACACTTTATTTTGCTGCTAATGCTAAAGAGCTGAACTCTAAATACACTAAAATAGCTGCCATGCTTTATTCCAGCAGAACTGCATATTTCAGAAATGAATGTCGGAATTCCTCTAGATTTTACATATCCCAGCAGTGCTATAAAACTCTCTAATTTTGGAAGCATTTTCTTCAATCAAGAGTAACATCTCTAGGTCTAGAAGATCTTAAGCGTAATTCAGTCGGAAATTAAGTGTGTATTGCAGGGAAATCATCTTACTTTTTTTTTGAATCAGAGAAACTTATCCCTAATCATCCTGAGTACAAACATGTTTTGCCATTATAAGAGTCTTTGTTCCTTAGGTGACTATCTTGATATAAGCTGATGCAAGTTCGATTCAGGCCAGAAACCATCACTGTAATCAGCACTGGTTGTTTTAGGAGAGTGGAAAAGTCAGTTGGGGTCAAGGACAGGGATATGCACTGGAACGGGGAAATCTCCTGGAAATCATGTGTTTTTCAGTGTCACCTTATCATTGTGAAAATCTTCTGTATGTGTTAAAGACGGGCATCTTCTCTGGAGCGAAGAAAAGTTTAAAATTCAGTAT